GAGCTGGCGGACCAGCTCGGGGCCGTCCTCGGTGAGCATCTCCACGGTGTCGGCGAGGAACTCGACGTCGCCGTCGACCTGGTCCATCAGCTCTGCCTCGTTGAACGTCTCAGCCACGCCCGAGCTCCTTCAGCACGCGTGCGATCTCCGCGAAGAGCACGCTCCGTTTCACGGGCTTCGGGACGAAACCGTCCATCCCCGCCTCCAGGCACATCTCCTTGTCGCCGGACATGGCGTTCGCGGTCATCGCGATGATCGGGATCCGGCCCGGCGAGCCCTGCTCGCGCTCGCGGATCGCGCGGGTCGCGTCGAGCCCGTCCATCTCCGGCATCTGAACGTCCATCAGGATAACGTCGAACGGATCGGCGTCCGACTTCTCCAGTGCCTCCACGCCGTTCTGCGCGACGGTGACGGTGTGCCCGGCGTTCTCGAGCACGCGGATCGCGAACTTCTGATTCACGGGGTTGTCCTCGGCGAGCAGGACCGTGAGCGTGCCGAGCCTGTGCGCGGGTTCTTCGGGGCGATCGGGCGTTGCCTCGGCCTTCGTGCGCCCCTGCCGAGACCCGCCGAGGACGCGCATGATGTTGTCGAGCAGGAGCGACTGTTTGACGGGCTTGAGGAGGCGAGCCGCGATGCCCAGGCGGTCGCTCGCCGCCTGGTCGCCGGACGTGGCGGAGGAGGTGAGCAGCATGATGGGGAGCGAGCCGAAGTCCGCGTGGGCGCGGATGCGCGAGGCGACCTCGAAGCCGTCCATCTCCGGCATGTGCAGGTCGGAAACGACGAGCGAGACCGGCTCGCCGGCGCTCGCGGCGCGGTCCAGCATCGCGAGCGCCTTCTGGCCGGATTCCGCGCCGATCGTGCGGAGCCCCCACTGCCCCAGCATCGTGCGGATGATCTTGAGGTTGGTCTCGTTGTCGTCGATGGCGAGGACGGTCTTGCCGGCGAGGACGCTCGCGGCGTCCTCCGCGGTGACGGAGGGCCGGGCGGTGCCGATGCCCATGCGCACCGTGAAACGGAATGTGCTGCCGACGCCCGGGGTGCTCTCGAGGCTGATCTCGCCGCCCATGAGCTCGACGAGCTGCTTGGAGATGGCGAGGCCGAGGCCGGTGCCGCCGAACTTGCGCGTGGTGGAGACCTCCGCCTGCTCGAAGGCCTTGAAGAGCCGCGCCGCCGCTTCGGGCGAGATGCCGATGCCGGTGTCGCGCACGCGGACGTCGAGCAGGACGCTGCTCTCGTCCTTCGCCTCCACGCCGATGGTCAGGACGACCTCGCCCTTGGAGGTGAACTTGATGGCGTTGCCGACGAGGTTGGCGAGGATCTGGCGGAACCGCGTGGGGTCGGTCCGGATACGAGCGGGGATCTTGCCGTCGCACTCGACGCGGAGCCGGATGCCCTTGCCGGCGGCGCGGACGTCCATGAGGGTGACGACCTGCTGGATGAGGTCGAAGGGGTCGCACTCGACGCGTTCGACGCTCATCTTTCCGGCCTCGATCTTGGAGAGGTCGAGGATGTCGTTGACGATGGCGAGGAGGTGCTCGCCGTTGCGTCGGATGATGGAGACGGCCTCGTTGGCGAGGCGCGGGTCCATGGGTGCGTCGCCGTCGAGGAGCTCGGTGTAGCCGAGGATGGCGGCCATGGGCGTGCGGATCTCGTGGCTCATGTTGGCGAGGAACTCGCTCTTGGCGCGGTTGGCGGTCTCGGCGCGGACCTGGGCGCGGGCGAGCCGGTTGCGCTGCTCGAGCTGGTCGGTGATGTCGCGTTCGATCGAGATGTACCCGGTGTACTCGCCCGCTTCGTCGAAGGTCGGCGAGGCGTTGATCTCGGACCAGAATGCGGACCCGTCCTTCTTGTGGAGCTTGACGACGGCCTGGATGTGCTCGCGCGTGTCGAGCTGCCGCTTCAGGTTCGCGAAGATGTCCTCGTCGGTCTCGGGGCCTCGGAAGATCTCGAAGGGCGTCTTTCCCGTGACCTCTTCGGGCGTGTAGCCGGTGACCTGGGTGAAGGCGCGGTTGACCCAGTAGACGCGGTTGTTCGCGTCCATGACGAAGACGGTGTTGTCGGTGCTCTCGGCGACGGCGGCGAGACGGCGGGCGCGGTCGCGGGCCTCGAGGAGCTCGAGTTCGGTGCGCTGCCTCTGGAGTTCCGCCGCGGCTCGGGCGCCGAAGAGCCGGAGGAGGGATTCGATGATGGCGTCGTTGCGCATGGGCTTGTTGTCCATGGCGACGAGGATGCCGATGGTGCGTCCGGCGCTGTCGCGGAGGTGCATGCCGGCGTAGCTCTCGATGCCGAGCTCGACGAGCAAGGGGTCCCCGGGGAAGTGGACCCGGGCTCCGCTCGGGTAGAAGCAGAAATCGTCGTTGAGGGCCCGCTCGCAGGGGGTCCCGGCGAGGTCGTAGGTGATGCCGGTGCTGACCCGCTCGCCGTCCCACCAGCTGCGGACGGTGGCGATCTCGTCGCCGTCGGTCTCGGCGACGAGCGCGTGCTTCACGCCGAGCGCGTCGGCGAGGGCGACGCAGAGCTCGTCGAAGTAGTTTTTGTCAGAGGGCGTCCCGCCGACGATGGAAAGGATGGCGTTCTGGATGCGGCGCTCGTCGCTGAGGTTCTGGACGGAGCAGCAGACGACGGTCCGGCCGGCCTGCTGGATGTGCGAGCAGGAGACGCGGACGGGGAATTCCTCGCCGTCGGCGTTCGTGTGGGTGGTCTCGATGGGGTCGAGTTTGCCCGCGAGCCCGAGCTGCCAGCGTTCGCACCAGAGCTCGGGGGTGATCTCGGGGTCGATGTCGAAGACGGTGGCGCCGACGAGCTGGCCGTGGGTCTGCCCGTGGGCGGCGCAGGCGGCGGCGTTCACGTCCAGGATGACGCCCGATTCGTCGAGCCAGTAGACGGCCTCGGCCGAGCTCTCGAAGCTCCGTCGCGCGAGCTCGGCGCGCTCGATGAGCAGGTCCTGCTCGCGGCGCATGGCGCCGAGCAGGGTGTTGACCTGTTCGGCGAGGCCGAAATCGTCGCAGGGCAGCTGGACGGGCGCGGGTGCGGCGTTGGCGCGGTCGCTCAGGGTGTCGATGAGCGCGAGTGTGGCGCGCTCGACGCGGCAGCGCCGGTAGAGCCCGTAGAAGCCCGCGGCGCCGACGGCGAGGATCGACGCGGTCGCGAGGGGCGCGGAGGGCCAGAGGGCGTTCGCGATCCCGAGCAGGACGACGCCGAGGATGAGGGCCACCCCGAGGGCCTGGGTGGCCGGGTTTTTTCGTGGTCTCGGGCTCATGACACTCCACACGGACAGCGCGAGCGGCGCATGACCTCCGCGCCGGGTTTTTCCTATCGACTGCCTCGGGAGAGTGGTTCAGCCGGATCGGCGTGAACGCGCCCGGCGGCGTGGTTCGGGCCGGGGATGGTCGCGGGCTCGGTTATCGGAAGGGGGGCGCGTCAGGACCAGGTGGTGACGTGCCACGCCTTTTTTCCGCGTCGGATCAGGGCGGTGGCGCCGTGGAGCAGATCGGCCTCGGTGAGGGCGGAATCGAGGCCCGCGGGCTTGCCGTTGACGGCGACGGCGCCGGCGGTAAGGAACTCCCGGGCCTGGCGTTTCGACTGAGCGAGGCCGGTCTCGACGAGGAGGTCGAGGAGGGGGGCCCCGTCGCCGGCGAGGTCCGATCTTTGGTGCGCGCTGGAGGGGACGTCGGCGAAGACCTGGGCGATGGTCGCGGGGTCGAGTTCGGAGACGTCGCCGGTGAAGAGGGCGCGTGAGGCGGCGACGGCGCGGTCGCGCTCGGCCTCGCCGTGGAGCATGGCGGTGACGTGCTCGGCGAGCGTCGTCTGCGCCAGGCGCTTCTGCGGCGCGGCGCGGTGCTCTTCGAGGAGGCGGTCGATCTCGTCGATCGGGATGAGCGTGAAGACGCGGAGGAAGTTCTCGGCGTCGGCGTCCGAGGTGTTGAGCCAGAACTGGTAGAAGGCGTAGGGCGAGGTGCGTTCGGCGGTGAGCCAGACGGCGCCGGCCTCGGACTTGCCGAACTTGCCGCCGTCGGCCTTGGTGATGAGCGGCGCGACGAGGCCGTGGGCTTCGTGTGTGCCGCCCGCGCCCTCGGCGGCGTTGGCCTTGCGGATGAGCTCGATGCCGGCGGTGATGTTGCCCCACTGGTCCGACCCGCCGCCCTGGACGGTGACGCCCCGCTCGCGGCTCAGGTGGAGGTAGTCGTAGGACTGGAGGATCATGTAGCTGAACTCGGTGTAGCTGATGCCCTGCTCGCGGGATTCGAGGCGGGTCTTGACCGAGTCCTTCTGGATCATGGCGTTGACGGAGAAGTGCTTGCCGACGTCGCGGAGGAGCTCGATGTAGGTGAGTTTCGTGAGCCAGTCGGCGTTGTTGACGATGGTGGCGGCGTTGGGTCCGTCGAAGTCGAGGACCGCCTCGAAGATGCGGCGCTGGGACTCGACGTTGGCCTGGACGCGCTCGGCGGACTGGAGCTGGCGCTCGGCGTCTTTTCCGGAGGGGTCGCCGATGAGGCCGGTGCCGCCGCCCATGAGGACGACGGGCGTGTGGCCGGCGAGCTGGAAGTGGCGGAGGACCATCATGGGCACGAGGTTGCCGATGGTGAGGGAGTCCGCGGTGGGGTCGAACCCGATGTAGATCCTGCGGGGGCCGCCCGCGAGGTGCTCCGCGAGGGCGGCCTCGTCGGTGGACTGGGCGCAGAGGTTGCGGGCCTTGAGTTCGTCGATGAGGGTGCTCGTGGCGGTCATGGGTGGGCGATTCTAGAGAAAAACACGCTTCTGAACGCGGCGGCGGGGAATTCCGAACCGTTCTGGACGGCTTGATGGGTGTGGTAGCATGGTGCGTTCCCGGGGCCTAATGTTGCAGTACGTGTAGGGCATCTGTTCGCCGTCTGTTCGTGCAGCGTGCGATCGTGCCGTTCTTGAAAGGTTCAGCCATCTCTTTTGAAACCGACCGAGCGTTCCTGGATGCCACGTGGGACCTGATCCGAGACCACCTGGACCTCGAATCCCGCGAGGGGATGTCTTCCTACCGCTCGGCGGACGACCTGCTGACGGAGATCGACCTGTCGATCTCGAAGGAGGGCGTCGGCGCGGAGGACCTGCTCGAGAGCCTCCGGGACGTGGCCCGTCGGAGCCCGCGGACGGGGAGCAACCGGTTCTACAACCAGCTCTTCGGCGGTCGGGACGCGGTTGCGGTGGCGGGCGACCTGCTCGCGACGATCCTGAACAACTCGATGTACACCTACAAGGCGGCGGGCGTGCACGGGCTGATCGAGCGCGAGCTGGTGGACCGGATGTGCAGGCACGTCGGGTTCCACGACGGCGAGGGGGTGTTCGCGCCGGGCGGTTCGATGTCGAACCTGCAGGCGATGATCGTGGCGCGGAACGAGGTGCTCAGCGGCACGCTGGACACGGGCCTGGACGGGACGAGGGCGTGCGTCTACGTCTCGGCCGAGGGGCACTACTCGGTCAACAAGATGGCGCAGATCGTGGGGATCGGGCACGAGAACGTGCGCCCGGTGCCGGTGGACGGCCGCGGGCGGATGCGCGTGGACGAGCTCGAGAAGATGATGGACGAGGACGCGGGCAAGGGGATCGTGCCCTTGATGGTGGTGATCACCGCGGGGACGACGGTGCTCGGGGCGTTCGACCCGATCCGCGAGACGGTCGAGGTCGCGAAGAAGCACGGGGCGTGGGTGCACATCGACGGGGCGTACGGCGGGTCGATGATCCTCTCGGAGAAGTACAAGGGGCTCATGGACGGGTGCGAGCTGGTGGACTCGATCACGTGGGACGCGCACAAGATGATGGGCGTCCCGCTGGTGTCGTCGGTGATCCTGGTCCGCGAGAAGGGGATGCTCTGGCGCAACTTCAACGAGAACGCGTCGTACCTCTTCCAGGAGGACACGGACGATCTGAACTTCGGGACGCGCTCGCTCCAGTGCGGGCGCCGCAACGACTGCCTGAAGCTCTGGGCGGCGTGGAAGTACAACGGCGACGTCGGCTACGCGGCGCGGATGGACCATCTGGTGGATCTCGCGCGGTTCTTCGCGGGCCTCGTCGAGGACGACCCCGAGCTGACGCTCACGAAATCGCCCGAGAGCACGAACGTGTGCTTCGAGGTGACGGGCAAGGGCAGCGCGGCGATCTGCGAGACACTCCGCAAGCAGGACCGGCTCATGCTCGGATGGGGCGTGGTCGAGGAGCGCCGCGTGATCCGCGTGCCGTTCGTCAACGGCGATATGACCCGTGACGACGCGCGGATGATGCTCGACGAGATCAAGACGGTGGCGTCGGAGCTGGGGCCGCAGGACAACGCGGTCGAGGCGCCGTCGCCGTTCGTGTGCTGCACTCCGGAATGATCGGGACCGAGACACGATGAGTGACCAATCCGCCCCCGCGCTCCGCATCGAGAACCTCCGTTTTTCGTACCCCGGCGCCGAGGCGCCGGTGATCGATATCGCGTCGTACGAGCTGCCGGCCGGGGGCCAGGCGATGCTCGCGGGCGGGTCGGGTTCGGGCAAGAGCACGCTTTTGCAGCTCATCGCGGGCCTGCTGGACCCGGACGCAGGATCTCTGCACGTCGGCGGGACGGACATCCACGCGATGAGCGGCGCGAAGCGCGACCTGTACCGGGGCAAAGCGATCGGCGTGATCTTCCAGACGTTCAACCTGCTCGACGGGTTCACGGCGGTGGAGAACGTGATGGCGGCGCTGATGTTCTCCGACATCCCGCGCAAGGAGCACAAGCCCCGCGCCGAGGAGCTGCTCGCGCACCTGGGGATCGATCGCCCGCACGCGACGCCGGGCGAGCTGAGCGTGGGCCAGCAGCAGCGCGTGGCGGTGGCGCGGGCGGTGGCGTGCGACCCGGTGCTCGTTCTGGCGGACGAGCCGACGGCGAGTCTGGACCCGGAGAACGCGCGGATCGCGATGGACCTGATCCAGTCGACCTGCAAGGATCGCGGCGCGGCGCTGCTCTGCACGAGCCACGACCCGAGCGTGTGGGAGCGGTTCGAGACGCGGGCCGAGCTGGCGACGCTCAACGGCGCGTCGGCCGCGAAGGGGGGCCGGTAAGCCATGGACGACTTCACGATTGTTCTCAAGAGCCTGAAGGCGCGGATGTTCTCGACGGTGACGACGAGCCTGACGGTCGCGGCCGCGGTGGCGTTGCTGCTCGTGATGCTGGGCCTGCGCGATTCGGGTCGCGAGGCGTTCCAGCGCGGCTCGGGGAACATGCACCTGCTGATCAGCGCCGAGTCGAGCGAGATGGACTCGGTGCTGAACTCGATCTTCTACGCGGGGGCGCCCGGGAACTTCATCCGGTGGGCGAAGTACGAGGAGATCGCGGACAGCCAGCCGTGGGCGTACGCGATCCCGGTGCAGATGGGCGACAGCTACCGGGGCCTGCCGGTGCTCGCGACGACGCCGGAGTTCTTCGAGTTCTTCGAGCCGGCGCCGGGCGAGCCCTGGGCGCTGGCGGAGGGGCGGTTCATCGAGGGGACGTGGGACATCGTCGCGGGCGGCGCGGTCGCGAGGGCGACGGGGCTGTCGGTGGGCGACACGATCTACCTGACGCACGGCGTCGCGGACGCGCCGGGCGCGCACGTGCACAAGGAGTTCGAGTTCAACGTCGTCGGGATCGCGGCGATGACGGGCTCGCCGCACGACCGGGCGCTGTTCTGCACGCTGGACGCGAGCTGGATCCTGCACGCGCACGACCGGCGTCTCGCGGAGGACTCGCGGGCGAGCGTCACGACGCTCGAGGACATCGTCGAGGACGACAAGAAGATCACGGGGATCTACGCGCGGGTGTTCACGCGCCCGGGGCGCGATTCGAGCGCGGCGTTGCAGTCGGTGCACTACCAGCTGCGCACGGACCCGTCGATCATCGCGGTGTCGCCCGCGGACCAGATCGGGAAGCTGCTCGGGATCGTCTCGAACATCGACCAGATCTTCCTGGCGATGGCGGGCGTGGTGCTCGTCTCGAGCGGAATCGCGATCATGCTCGCGCTGTACAACTCGATGGAGCAGCGGCGGCGTCAGATCGCGGTGCTCCGCGTGCTCGGGTGCAGCAAGGGGCGGGTGTTCTCGATGGTGATGACCGAATCCGCGATGCTCGGGCTCGCGGGGGCTGTGGCGGGTGTGGTCGTCGCGTTCGTCGGGGCGCAGGTGGTCGCGGGGGTCATGAAGGCGCGGCTCGGGCTCGTGATCGAGCCGGGGCTCGGGATCGAGTGGATCCTCTTCTCGGTCGTCGCGACCGTTCTCCTGTCGGCGGCCGCGGGGGTGGTGCCGGCGATGATGGCGTATCGCACGAGCGTCGCCCGGGCTCTTCGGCCCCTAGGATGAGGGCGTGAAGGTTTTCTGGAGTTTGATTGGGCTGCTGGTGGTCGGGACGGTGGTTGCGTTTTTGGTGCGCGGGAGGGAAGACAAGGCACCAGCCATCAGCCATCAGGCATCAGTGGAAGAGAGCTCGGCAGTCGGCAATCGGCAGTCGGCAGTCGGTGGGGTTGATCGCGAGATCCCGGAATCCCGGATTCCCGGAATGGCGGAATCCCCTGATTCCCCTGACAACCCGCTCGCGCGACGCGTGCGCACGGATCACGAACACCAGGAAGGCGCCGAGCCCGCGGTGTTCGACGGCGACTTCATGGGGATGCTCTTCGGGAAGGACGACGCGTCGGCTTCGGCTCCGGTGACGGCGGAGCAGCGGGCGCTGGACGAGGCGTCGAAGAAGGCGGAGCTGGTGCGGCTCGACGGGAGCTCGATCGAGCTGGACGGGCGCTTCACCGTGCGCGGGAAGGGGAGCCCGGAGGACCCGTACGTGCTGCCCTGGGAGCTGCTCGTTTCGGCGCGGGAGGTGTACGTGCCGAAGGAGGATCGGCGGGTGATCCCGGGGCGGGTGGGCATGTTCCAGGGGGCGTGGGTGGAGATCACCGGGTACATCATGCTGCCGACGGTGCGGGACCGGGTGCGGGAGTTCGTGGTGATGGAGAGCGAGTGGGACGGGTGCTGCATCGGCATCCCGCCGACGCCGTACGACTCAATCGAGGTGACGCTCGCGGAGGCGCGGGATTTCTCGCTCTCTGGCCAGCAGTACGCGACGGTGCGGGGGCGGATGGTGGTGGACCCCTACCTCTTCGGCAACCGGATGCTGGTCGGGCTGTACGCGATCGAGGACGCGACGATCCGGGTGACGGAGTTCTGAGGCGCGTTCGCCCGGGGCGGGCCTAGAATGGACCCGCCCGTGTCCGGTGCTGGAGGCTGACCCGTTTATGCGCTACTTCTGGTCGATCATCGCGTTGCTCGTGGTTGTCACGGCGGTCGTGTTCATGACCCGCGGCGGGAGCAGTTCGCCCGCGCCGTCGATGCCGCCTCAGCAGTCGCAGCGGACGTCCCCTCGCTCGACGCCGCCCGTGCGCGAAGCGCCTGAAACCGTCGAGCGGGCGCCGGTGACGGTCGCGGAGCCGCAGGTTGAGGAGCGCGTCGCGACGAATGAGCCGTCGACACCCAGCCTGGACGTCGACGAGCTGCTCGGAACGGACGCGCCGGCCGCGGAGGACGTCGCGCTGCCGGACGGGGAATCGCCGGCGCTGGACGAGATGACGGAGATCGTCGAGACGCTCGACGAGGCGACGCCGGACGCGGACGAGGCGATCCGGGGGGCGTACACCTACAGAACCGAGGAGTTCGTCGGGCCGCTGGGCGAGGGGATGGAGGCGCCGTCGCTCGCGCAGGCGGCGGAGACGAACCCGGAGACGGGGCACTCCCCGAACCAGTACCTCGAGCAGCTCCGCGCGGCCCGCGCGAAGCGGGACGCGGAGAACGCGGCACGACGTGCCGCGTCCGCGTCGAGCGGCACGCCCGTGATCGACCCGAACGTCTCGTGGGAGGAGATCGAGATCGACGACGGCGTGACGATCAAGCGCCGCAACACGGACGGGGCGTACCTGCTGGACAACCGGCACCTCGTCTACGGCGAGGGGACCAGGGAGAGCCCGCTCGAGTTGACGTGGGACATGCTGTACTCGGTGCGCGAGACGTACCGCCCGCGCAAAGGGCTCGAGGAGCTGCCCCAATGGACGAGCTGGCTCGACGGGAAGCAGGTGCGCATCACCGGGTTCATGGCGACGGCGGTGTTCGCGAGCGACGTGGACGAGCTGCTCATCATGAAGAACGAGTGGGACGGCTGCTGCATCGGCGTGCCGCCTACGCCTTACGACGCGGTGGAGGTCACGCTCGTGGAGAAGATCAAACTCACGGCGGGGATGATGAGCTTCGGGACGATCTCGGGGCGGCTGGAAGTGGAGCCGTACCTGGTGCGGAACTGGTTGGTGGGGTTGTACCTGCTGGAGGAGGCGACGGTGGAGGAGAGCGGGTTCTGAGACGTCGGAGCGTTTCGACCTCCGATTTGGCTTGAGCAGATTTGTAGCCTATGCTACAAACCGTGACCCGAAGCCGTTCCCAACTCGACCTCCGCCCCGAGCACAGCGCGACCAGCCCGCTCTCCGTCCACGCGATGACGGTGGCGTACCACCGCAAGCCGGTGTTGTGGGACGTGGACTACGACGCGCCGCGCGAGAAGCTCGTCGCGATCGTCGGGCCGAACGGGGCGGGGAAGAGCACGTTCATCAAGGCGTGCCTCGGGCTTGTCCCGATGGCGTCCGGGCGCGTGGAGTTCTGGGGGGAGACGCTCTCGCGGGCGCGCCGGCGGATCGGGTACGTGCCGCAGCGGGAGACGGTGGACTGGGACTTCCCGGTGAGCGCGCTGGACGTCGTGTGCATGGGGCGGTACCGGAAGATCGGGTGGTTCCGTCCCGTGTCGCGGTCGCACAAGGAGGCGGCGCGCGAGTGCCTGGCGCGGGTGGGGATGGAGGCGTTCGCGGAGAGGCAGATCAGCCAGCTCTCGGGCGGTCAGCAGCAG